TATAAAAAATTTTTGTTAAAAAAATTAGCGAAAATAAACCTAAAATTGTTTTTGAAAGTTATGTAGAAAACAAGGGTTTTTAACGAAAAAGTATATACATTTTTTCATTAAAATTATAATTTTGAATGAAAATCAACAGTTTTTTTAAAACCAGCATATAGTTCTGCATCTTTTGAATCCCAGATTGACATTTCTGCAAAAAATAAAATTTCACTAATATGGACCCATCAAAATTTTTAGGTTCTTAAGGAACTTCAAAAACTCTTCTAAATACAAAATATAGTTCTGCATGGTGAGGCCGTTGCGCACTGGTTAGAGCGCTTGCTTTATAAGCAGGAGATCTAGGTTCGAAGCGAGCCATGGACATATTTTCGCGTCACGGTAGAGAAGGAAGCGTGAACTTCCTGGTTAAATGTACTTCCGCGGTGCTCTGTGACAAGACCGTAAGGTCTTCTAGGGGCACCTAAAAAACAATTAAAAAATAAATATTTATTGTTTTACTTTCCTGTAAATAATTATTAGAATAACGTTCGCGAATCAGGAATGTTTTTTCAAACTTTTTTTTTTTTGCTTTAAAAATTGCTCCACCCTACAGACCAAGTTGCTGAACATTAAAGCGAAGAATAGATTTTGATCACAAAAAATATGCCGGACATCAAAAATTTGCCGGACATCAAAAATCTGCCGGACATCAAGCTGCATTAAATTGTGTTTTCAAAAATTTAAAAGTAGTTTCTTGAGAAAATTATTTTAACGCAGGAGAAAATTGTAATGGCAAACATTTTTCAAATTGCAAATAAAGTTTCAAATAATTTTTTTTTTTTATTATTCTAAAATAGAAATTGATCTATAAAAAACGAACAGACTTAAAATGGGTTGCATTCTTCCTTCTACAAATGCAACATTTTCAATTATATAATTACGAAATGAGGAAATAATTGATGCCAGGTGTCGAAAAGTTAAAGAGTAGGATTTTAGTAAAAATGAATAATTCAGCGATTATACGCCAAATATTGACGCGGGTAGCCTTTAAAGCTGCGTAGAAAGCAGTGGAATAAATTCACCATTTGTTTTTGGATTTTTGAATAACATGTGATGGCACAGTAGTCTTGTTAGGGTGCAATGGTGGCTTTTAGAAATTACGTATCAAAAAATTTCCTTTAATTGTAGTTCAGAATTATACTAACCAAAAACTAAAATTATCAGTAGGCAATACTGTTAAGGAGATTTCAGGAATCAATAGATTTGAATAATTTCTTAAAAAGTTTTATGCCGTGTATCATATTTCTCCAAAAAATAGCGTCAATTTTCATGTGCAGATTTAGTTGATAAAAATTAATAAAATTTCAACTATTCGATGGGTGTCATTTAATTGTCATACAGTTTTCGCAGTATGGAAAAATTATGAAGCGCTTGTAAAGCATTTTCAAGAAGCAGTATATTATAATAAATTATTTGCATTTATAAGTAATTGAAGCAGACCAAATCAATAGAAACAATAAAGTTTAAAAAAAAGTTTGAAAGTTTCTTTTTAAATCAAAAACAAACCTGCTTGTTACAGGTGTTAAAGTTACAAATTCTACATTTTTTAGACTCATCACTCTTAAATGAAATAGCAGCACTATTCTATTCTGTTACTGGTTTGATAACCGTCATTTTTTAAGGTGGTTTGATAACCGTCATTTTAAATAATAAAACAGGTTGCAAAAATAATCCGATCTTATTGATCCAAATTTTTTTTATATATCAGATATATAGCAGTTGATATAGCAATTGAGAAAGGTTGCTTGCTAACAAAGACGTTGAATTAGCTTAGTTAACTTGCATGTTAGATCTAGAATATTGGCCAGCAAACATTCACGTTCACCTTATATTGAAAGAAACTGAAATAAGAAACTAATCAATAAAACTTCAATTAAATACCTTTTAGATAAAATATTTTATGAAAAGCTACTTTGTTTGGTTCACGCTCTACATGCTATCCCCAATTATGTTTATTATTGTAATTTATTCGTTGATGTTTGAGTCTATTCTGTTTAATTTTCCATTTATCATTTATACGATTTGCGCCAGTTATTTAGATAATGGCTTCTTCTTGTTTATAAAACATTTTTTTTTGTTATTTTCGGGAAATCTTTCAACATTTCTTTTAATTTTAGACTCCTAGTAGTGTTACTGTTTTGCTTATATATAATTAATTAAAAGATTAAAAAAAATATAAGTATACATTTTTTTTTTAATCAACGTTAAGCTTTTAACAAAATTTTTCTGTGTTCGCGAGGGCTACTGTGAAAATAAATAAATTAACAAAACGTGTGAAAAATAACAATAAAAAAAAAGGTACGCAAGCAAATGAATTAGCTGTTTCATGGTTATTAGGTTTTAATATATCACGAAACTTGTTTGAAAAAGCTTTTTTAATAAAACATATAACTACAAAACTTTACAAAACATTCGTATATTTTTAACTAAGTTTTTGAATTATTTGAATTATATAATAGTCAGTTGGACATACTCCAAAGGAATATGTCCAGCTTGCATACAATTTTGGCCCCTTTTTTTTTCCCCCTTAAAACACATATTTACGCTCAAGGATGCTAGAAAACAACATAAAACTACACTTTAAAATTTAAAAATAATTTTGAACTCCAAAAAGTTTATAACAAATTTATAAATGAATTTTATAAATTAAATTTAAAAACTGTTTTGTTTGATTTTTTATTAATTTATCTGTTTGTTTTTTATTCTGATTGCAATATTACTCTATGTGGTTTTTAAAAACAGCTTTATTAACGTACCCTTATTTTCAATTCAAAAATACAAAAAGTTTATTTGATTGCAGGCTATAATTTAAAGGAACAGATTTTTTATTGTTAAAAGAAGCACCTAAAAAAAACGGTTACGATTGGCAGCTTTTCACGTTGACACATCAGTTACTCTTCATCAGGCTAACGTGGAAACTGTACATGCAAATAATTTGGCATTAAATTGGTAAGTTTATAATACTTGACTGTAAGGTTTAAATTGACCAAGCAAAAGGATACAGTTGGAATTGGATTGGAGTATGAAAGACAAAAGCACGCACCACGAGTAACTAGCTACATTGCAACTTTATGGAATCATAATACCCTAGGTATTATGATTCCATTTTCTCACTAATTTGGCCTTTTCTGGCCAAATTAGTGAGAAAGACAACAAAGTGATATTCGTGAGAAAGACAATCTAGAAACTCCTCATTAAAAGCAATTTTGAAGTATTGTAAATGCCACCGAAAAAATAATAATAAATAAAATAAAAAGGCAAAATTTTTTTGCCTTAAAATTTATGAGCTTGTGACCAAGTTGAAAAAAAAAATTAAATTGAAAGAAGTTTATGTAAGTATGATGAAATAAAAATAAAAAGAAATTTAATTAAAATTTAATTTAAATAGTGCTGACTCACTGATCAAAAAATATTATCGAACCAGGCAATATTTTTTGATCATTAAAAATTTTTTAAAAAAGATTTTAATGTTGAAAATAACAGAGCTGTTTTGGTAATCTTCTTATTAAACTTTATTAGACTAAATTGAAAAAAATTAATTTAAATATAATTGAATTTTAATAATGATGAACGACTAATCGAAAAATATTGTTGAACCAGACCTTTGACCATTAGAAAGTTTTTAAAAAGACTTTAATTAGTTTTGTTATAGACTTTGACTAAATCGACTTAAACTCGACTGGTCAAAAGTCAAAATTAGTCGACTATGAAAAATCGAATAATCGATTTAATAGATTATGGACTTTAGACGAGTAAAAATCTCCAAAATCTATATGTTATCTATACAATTGCATTGTAAATATGATTGTAATGACTTTTTAATATATAGCAAGTACTTAAAACGGTCTCTAAATAATTGGGATCTGAGAATAGATTTTCCAGTTGTCGGAGCAGTCCTTATTGTTCTCATATTGTTTTGCTCCATTATTATTTAAATGATATTTTTTTTAAAAATAGAAAGCAAATATAAAGTACTTTATATTTTTATTACTATTTATCGAAAAAATTACTATTAAATACTATTTATTGTAAAAATAAATAATTCCCATCACGGTCGTTTAGACTTTAGAAATAAGTGGAAAGTTATTATACGCAAGCGCAGTAGAGTTAAAAATAATTTAGAATTTTAAAAATGGCTACGGATGTAACGTTTTTAAAAACTTATCATTGACAACGAGTAACTTGTTTAATTTTAGATAATTTAATAGGCTTTTAACTATTTTTAAAATAAAATTATTGTGAAAATAACTTGCAGCTTTACTAAGAAATGTTTTAAATAAAATACAAGTCCTCTGAATGTGAATAAAATCTACTTTCAGCTAAAGCTACTTTTACTGTTTTTGTTTATAATCTTTAAACCTTTTTTAAAAAAATTTTGAGCGTAGAAATTTTTAAATTTTTATTTATTCAGCAAGATGAACCTTTTATCTTTTTTGCATTTTTTGCTTTTATGAGGATTCAATTTTTTTTGCAGGGTTAAAATAAAATCTTAATCGTTAACTTTTTGTAACCTGTTGCTACGATACTCCTTTCTGATGTATATATATATATATATATATATATATATATATATATATATATATATATATATATATATATATATATATATATATATATATATATTTATATATATATATATATAAAATATATATATATATATATATATTTTTTTTTTTTTATTTATATTTATTTATATATAAATAAAAACACAAACAAGTTTTGAACATAAAGCATAACTTTGATAAATTATTTAATTTTTAGATATAAAGCTATATAAAGTGTGTAATATTCGTAATGCAATAGAGACAAACAGAAAAAAAAGCAACATTAGTATAATTTAAAAAATGTAAATTTATTTTATGCATCAAATAAATATCAATCAACACAAAATAAAAGATCAAAATATAATTCAAATGAAAATATAAATATCTTTTATGCATTAAAAACATTTTTCATTCTTTCAATCTTTAAGTAAAAAATATTTTAAATATACTCATATTGATTTTAACAATCTCAAGCTGAAAACATTAAAAAAAAAAATTTAAACACGAAACACAAAAAATATTTATATCGAGTTCCAAGAAAAAGTCTTTCTGCTTTAGTTTACTTTTCCCTTCTTTACAACAGGCAAGTTTCTTTGTTGAAACGCGAATATGGTTGGAATACTAAAAAAATATATACTATAATATTTGTTTGTTTTAAATCAATTTTTATCATAATTTATTAATTTTGAATCAATATGTACAAAACCAGACTGATGATTCAATCGATAGAATCAAAATGATAGCATTCAATCGATAAAATCAAAAACATAACTAATGGTATTGCTTTGATGCAGGCAATACAGTTGATTTATTTGAGGTTATTGACTAAATCAAAAGCCTGGAATAATAACATTCAAAATTTTGATCATAGATAAGTGTGCATAAATATATAATGTATGTATGCGTATATATATATATATATATATATATATATATATATATATATATATATATATATATATATATTAGGGTCTTGTGAATTGCTTCGATTCGTGAATCAAGTGTCGCTTCGATTCGAGTCGAAAAAAAAAAAAATTCAAGTTTTTTCAAATCATATTTTTGCGAATTATTTTGCGAATATTGCTGGTTTTTTTAGATTTCTAAAGCTAAAATGTAATTGAAATGGGTTTTTCAAACCGGGGGAAGAAAAAGTAATTGAAAATAGTTCTAACATCACTTTAAAACAAACGCCAAAAATATAATCAGAGCAAAAAGAATTTGTTCAAAAAAATATTTTTATCTTTTTGGAAAAAAAAACAAACTTAAACTTGGTTTTCACGAATAGCTGATTCGATTCATGATTCGATTCGCGGATCAAGAACTGCTTTGAGATTCAATTTGAAACAAAAAATGTCAATTTGCAAGGCCCTAATGTATATATATATATATATATATATATATATATATATATATATATATATATATATATATATATATATATATATATATATATATATATATATATATATATATATATATATATATATATATATATATATATATATATATATATATATATATATATGTTACCAACATATAACAATATTATGTTACTAACATATAAAAATATTATGTTACTAACATATAACCATACTATGCTCTCTTCTTTAAGAATATTGAGCACTCTTTGACAGTCTGTTCAACTCCTTCAGAAGGTTTATCAAAAAAATAGATAAGTGTTTATACTATATATATATATATATATATATATATATATATATATATATATATATATATATATATATATATATATATATATATATATATATATATATATTTAAACAATTTAAAAAATGTATTCTACAAAATAGAGTGCTCAATGTTCTTAAAAAAACAGTGCAAATTTCTGATGATTCTTGATGAAACACAGTGTAAAATGAAATAAAATTTTGTTAAGAGATTTTTTACTAATTTATTATATATATATATATATATATATATATATATATATATATATATATATATATATATATATATATATATATATATATATATATATATATATATATATATATATATATATATATATATATATAGCCACATCGGAAAAGAGCACCATAGCAACAGGTTACACAAGTTTAATGATTAAGATTTTCTTTTAACCCTGCAAAAAAAATTGAATCCTCATATAAGCAAAAAATACAAAATAGATAAAAGGTTCATCTTGCTGAATAAATTTAAATTAAAAAATTTCTACGCTCAAAAATATTTTAAAAAAGGTTTAAAAATTGTAAACAAAAAAACTAAAGTTGCTTTAGTTGAAAGTAGATATTATTCACATTCAGAGATCTTGTATTTTATTTTTAAAATTTCTTCGTACAGCTGCAAGCTATTTTTAAAATAATTTCATGAAAAAACTAGTTAAAAGCCTATTTAATTATCTAAAATTAAACAAATTACTCGTTGTCAATGATTAGTTTCTAAAATCCTGTTACCGTAGCCATTTTAAAAAACCTTCAAAAAATGTAATTTCACTGCGCATGCGTATAATAACTTTCCTCTTACAAACGACCGTGCCATACTTCGATTTATTCGACTTTTAGTTGACTTAATCGATTTAGGTATAGAGGAATTATCTTATAAATAGACGGTTGTGCCCCTCCACTTCGAAACCTGTGTGGTCGGCCATAATTCAGTCGACAGTCGAATTATTTAATAGTTGTAAAAACACTAATTAAAATGCTCTAAGAACCAGACCGAATAAATCAACTACCAACGGCAACCGAAAAAATCTTTAAAATATTGTTTTAATTCAACACTTTAAAGCTATGTTAGCGAAATTTCCTTCTTAAATTTCCTTAAAATTTTCCTTTTTTTAAAATTACAATTTTAGAATTAAAAGTATATAAATTATAAAATATAAAGTATAACGACAAATTTATTTTTATTGAAATGAAATATTTCTAGTTATAATGAATTATGAAAATTTGCAAAAAAATAAATAGTTTTTAATATTTGTACGCAATTTGTACATGGTTAACAAGTTGTTTATGAATTTTATATGTTGTATGTTATATACTTTAAGAAAATTATTGTATGATGGAAAATGCAGATGATAATAGCAAGTTTAATGTAGATTTAAACAAAAAACGTTCAGATTATCTGTCATGGGAAGACTATTTCATGGCGATTGCATTTCTTTCAGCTCAACGAAGCAAAGACCCAGTGACACAAGTTGGGGCCTGCATTGTTAACAATGAAAATAAAATTGTTGGGATTGGATATAACGGTATGCCAATTGGTTGCAGTGATGAGGTGTTACCATGGTCAAGAATTGGAGAAAGTTTTATGGAAACAAAATATGCTTATGGTACTTATCTTACAATAATATTTCTTTATTTTAACCAAAAGAATTGTTAGTAATTAACTTATTATTTATTAATATTATATGTTGTGTGAAAATTATATATTTCTTTACTTTTTATCTGTTAGTATGCCATGCTGAACTTAATGCAGTTTTGAACAAAAATTCTGCTGATGTACAAGATTGTATTATCTATACAACACTTTTTCCATGCAATGAGTGTGCTAAAATTATTCTACAGTCTAGAATTAAGGAAATAGTTTACTATTCCAATAAATACAAAGATCGTCCTGAGACTCAAGCAGCTGAGAAAATGTTTGATCTTGCTGGTATCAAGCATAGGTATATGTTTTTATATTTCTGGTATCAGGCAGATAATAATAACTATACACTTGAAAACTACATAAACATTTGAAGTTTTTCTGATTTTTTAATTTAATTTTTGTATTATTCTAAACATCTCATAAATATTTTTAACAAGTTAACGAGAAATGAATTATATGAAAGATTAAATTAATTTCTTATTTTAACAAAAAGAAAATGTTTTTATGCTATTATGGCTATGAGATCTAATGAAACTAATAAGCATTAAACCTAAAGTGTAATAAATGAGATTAAGAGTTTTATATTTCAGTTTTATATTTTAGTTACACAGAAATTTTAAGAGGAAATACTAAAACTTAACCAAAATAACTTATAAGGAAGATATCTTTTCTTTTAGATTTGTACTTTATATTATTTAAAGTGCTTAAACACATTTAAATATGGTAAAAATTGCATGGGCGGTTAGGTCAAAAAAAATAAGAACATGAGGAATAAAGCACTTAACAAGCAGTGAGTGTGCTAGTGAGCTCAATGGTTCACCTTGTCTAACAATGGCTGATAAAGATAGAAAAGGTTTTCTAACTTGATTATTTCAGTATTCAGGGTGCATGGCCTACTAGGTAAGCTTTTGATCTATCTTCAAATAAGTTCTTTAAAATTTGAAAAATGGGTTAATAAAAATTTGTATTGCAGTGCATAAGACAATTAGGAGATGAAATTATGGAACGTGAACTAAACCACTAAACAACTGAACTTATTAATATATGTAAAGAAAAACTTAAAAATAAATATAATGGAGATCTATATAAAAAATAGTTCTAAGGATCTTAAGAACACTATCTTTACAGAGATACACTTTATATTTACAGAGCTCCTAAAATCAAAATTGACTTTAGAAGCTCTGTAAATGTAAAGTGGGATGCATTTAAGGAACTGTTACCTGAAGTATCTTAAATTGGACTTTTGATTTTAATGTATTAGAGAAGAGAAGTTATATAATGAAGGTTATCCTCCAAATTGAATAAAGCATATTAACAATTAAATTAAACTAAAGGTTTAAGCAGCTGTAAAATGACAATCTTTCTTAAGTGAAACAACAGAAATAAATGAAAATAAAAGTGTTCTAAAAAAAAGAAGAAAAAAAAACAAAAACTGAACACTGCTTCTAACGTCAAAAATGTCCAGCTAAAATCGAGAATAAATTATAAATGAATTAATCAGGGAGCACATGACTCCTTATATTTTAGATTTTGATAGTAATAGTTAAATAGGTTATGAAAATTAGACCTAAAAGTTTGAATATCCAACTGGTTATGGTTCTTGAGATATTCAAGTTTCAATGCTTAATTTGAACATGGATAAAATATGGAATATGTTACAATTGGATTAAAATGTAAAATGCATGTTTTGATTGGATTAAAGTATGAAACACTTTGCAAAGAACTTCAAAGAACTGATGTTCGAGGAAAAAAACTAGACGAATAAGAGTTTTTGGAGCACTTATGAACAGTAACAGAAAAAGGATGAGACTTAATTGAATGACGAGTAAGACGAGAATAAATTTTAGTAGATGGCACAAGAGACGCTAGCTCTTTAGAGCAATGCCCATTATAGTATTTGTAGAAAATAGAAAGAGAAGCATTACGATGATGTGATAATGGGTGAAGGTTGCCTGTGAAAGCAGGTCCAACTATATTTCCAATGCGTTTTACACCTTGTCCAAAAAAGAAAGAGTATCATTAGAAGATCCGCACCAGATATGGCAACAGTATTCCATAAAGAACAGATTTAAGATTTATAGAAATAGATAATAGAACCTGGAGTAAGAAAGTGTCAAGCTTTATAAAGAGATATAATCATAGCAGATGCTATGATTATATCTCTTTATATTTTGCCACGGATTTGATATATGGTTTCCAAGAAAGATCAGAAGTAAGAATTAATCCTAGAAGATTAAGGGTAGATGATTTATCAAGTACATTACCTATCAAGTACGTTCATAAATATAGGAAGGTCTAAATTATTGCAATAACGATTGGCTGAAAAAAATTGAGTTTTATCTGAATTAAAGTTCACCAGCCACTGTGAGCCCCATGTTGTAACAAAAGTGAGATCCTTTTCAAGCTCAAATGCCCCCTCCAAGCAATCAGAGTGTTGGCTTCTTATCATGACAAGAATAAATGGTAGTATCATTTGCAAATAATGCCACCTTAGATATGAGAATATCTGGAAGATCGTTAATGTAAATTAAAAAGAGTATAGGGCCAAGGATTGAACCTTGGGGAACCCCTGAGGTTACAGAATAAGAAGAAGAGTGCTGTCCATCAAGGACATCTTTTATACTACGATTGGAAAGAAAGGATTCAATAATCTTAAAGATGTTTCCAGATATACCGTAAAAAGAAAGCTTATGGAGAAGACCAGCATGCCAAACTTTATCAAACGCTTTAGAAATGTCAAGAGCAATGGCCTTAACCTCTCCACCTTAATCTAATGCGCGATAAAACCTATAGATTATTACTGATAGCAAATCAGCCGTAGAACGAGAAGATCGAAATCCATATTGATGATCAGAAAAAAGGTCATGAGATTCGAAATGAGAGATTAAGTGTTTGTTAATTAAAGATTCAAAAACCTTGCTTATGATAGGAAGAAGACTAATGGGACAGTAGTTAGATGAATCAGATCCCTCTCCAGAATTTTTAAAAATAGGGATAACAGATGCTGCTTTCCAGCAGGCTGGAAAACAAGACTCTGATAAGCACTTGTTAAATAGTTTTGAAAGGATAGACGACAGCTCCGGAGAACACTTCTGCAAGACTATAACAGGTATGTTGTCCGGGCCCCAAGCTGCAAAAGAGTCTAAGCGGGAAATCACTTTAGATACAGAAGCTGGAGTGATACAAATGTAGAGCAATGGATCAACCTGTTTGACAACTATATCAGGTAGAACGCAACTAGTGGCATCAAGAGATGATATTGATGAAAAGTTCTTGGCAAACAATTCAGCTTTGTCTTTAGGTGAGGTGACAAATTCTGAACCATACAAAAGAGGTGGAATTACAGACTTGCTCTTATTATTGATACTATTAAAGATTCTCCAAAAGTCACGAGAGTCTAATTTTTGTGATGAAATATGAAATTTCATGATCTGAGAATAGCGGATAGATATAGAATAGAGAATAACGTCTGTTTTCTGGAGAATGGTTTTGCTGATAGATATGGAAGTAATGGTTTCGATTGGCAATTGCAGCAGCACAATGTGAGGAAAACCATGGAAAAGAGTGAGGTTTGACCTGGAATCCTCGAGAGGGAATAAAGGATTCCATGCCAGCCTGAATCCACGAAGTTATGTAAGAAGCACATTTGTCAACAGGGAGACGAAAGATTTCTACCCTGGGGCCATAACGAAAAAAATCACGGAAAGAGTCGCAGTCAGCTTTAAGGTAGTTGTAAGATGTACGATGATAGGGGGATTCTGATGGTAAAGAAGAATGAGATAATAGCTTTAGAGAGACCAAACCATGATCAGACGCACCTAACGGTGAGTGTGAAGAAACTGAGCACTGACTAGGATCAGAAACAAGTCAAAAGTCATGTAGAGAAGGTAAATGATTCAGGTTGTCTGGAAAGCGAGTTGGAAAGTTGACTATTTGAGTTAGGGATTGAGAAAGGTAAAAGTTGTGGGCCTTAATGCCTGCAGAGTCAATGACACTAGAGCCAAGCCATTCAGTGTGATGAACATTAAAGTCACCGACAACAACAATATTGGCTGATGGATAAAGAATGAGGGCTTGGTCAATATAATCAGAAATAACATCAAGAAGAGTGCAGTCTTGAGATGAGGGAGAGCGATATAGAACAAAGAGAAAGGCAATAGAGTGAAGTGGTGCTAAATGAAAGCGCATAAAAGAGTAGTCTGTGGATTCAAACCTAGTTTCCCGACAAATGGGTGAATTCTTACGAATGTAAATGCCCAGACCAAGCATGTGACTATTGGAGTCTTTACGAATTAAAGGAAGATAACCATCAACACTAAGATCACAAGATGAGACAGCTGAACTCAAATTAGTCTCACAAAGAGCAAGTAGGTCTGGTGAACTTTGCAAGAGATAAGACTCAACAGAAAAAAATTTTCTTCGAAGACCACGAATATTGGTGAATGATAGGTTTAGGGAACTTGGTGATGACTGTGGTTTTTTGTGTTTTGTAGTTTTTGTTACTTTATTCATTTTTAAATTTGCTAAAGAACTTGACTCGAAACATAGATAGTACTCAGTACACTGTTTTATAGCTCAAGCAATTGCCTCATTTCCAACAATAAACCCTAAGCCGTAACAAAGGGCTCCAATGTGGCCTTGGCAATGCACACCAAAAGTACAAAAAGGGACACCATCCATGCGCAACATGGCACTGTTAGTACTCTGATATTTTTCAGCTGTTGATGGAATCAGCCTCTCTGAGAGCTACCACAGAGTTCGAGAAACCTGACTACCAGCCGGCCTCAGAACCATAAAACTGAGTTTTAGAGCTGTACCCTCATTTGGAGATAATAGAATGAGTTGCCTAGTCATAAAAACAGAGACACAAGCAAAACCCATGAATCGAGTCAAGAAGATCCAGCGTTCAACATCCTAAACTGGAAATAATGTATTAAAAATACATCTGCGCCAGCCTAATAGATGAAGAAGGGGTGCTAGGCTGGTCAACAGGTAGAATCTGTTTACCCCTTAAATGTTATAGTTAACGCTTCTCTTGCGAGTATCTGCGTAGGGTACTCATAGGAGAAACAATAAGGAAATAAATTTGATTTTATTCTTTATATTAGTAAGCGAATAAAACAGCCAATATAATTTAAACCACTATCCTGCGGTGATGTTTTTACATTGCAGATATAAATTATATTTACAATTGGCAAGCCATCATGTAATAAATGTAACATAATTTTGGTTAATTGTTTATATTTTTATATGGAAAAACAGAAAATACTGGGGCGAGTGTTCTAAAAAAAAAAATAATAAGGTCCTCTAAAGGTAGACAGGATTTTTAGACTGGTATCCCATAAAAATTTGTAAATACGTCACTGACTATGTATGCATTTATGTACAAAATAGCAATTTCACCTACCCATTCAGCAATTCTTTGAAGGAGTGTAAAATGGTTTGGTAATATTTTTTAAAGAAATAAGTTTTTTCTTATTTTTTTGCAAATTAATTCATTATATAAATATGTTTAAATATGTTAATGAAGTTTAAACTCTTTGTTTCTTATTAGTTAATGTTGTGTTAAGATCTTATGACATAAGTTTTATTTATGAACATAAATTATGTTTACTTTTATTTGTAACCGATAAAGTGTATCTATAAATTGTTATAAACTTTACTAATAATTGTACATTGATGACGTAAAAAAAAAAAACTACATCAATAAAGCAAACAAAAGATTATTATGCTAATAAAATTCAATTTATGAATTCACATAGTCCCAGTCCAAGTTTTTTGGATTACACAAGATTTGTTAAATGGCATCAAATTATGACTTATGTTTTGTTGCTGTCATGTACAAAAAATGGTTGTGTATGTAAAATTTCTGAGATTGAATCAGTATTTTAATTAAAATAATCAAAATTTATAGAAACATTTCTATATCAGTTATTCTATATCATTTTTATTTTATATACTATTTTTTGAAATATTTGCATGTGTGTAACATGATTAACTAGTATAAAATAGAGATTAAAATGATGAACTACATAAAAAAAATCTATTTAGCAACTTGTCTTTAAGAGAGTACAATGTACAAGTAATTTTTTTTTCAGGGAGTTGATGAAAAAAATGATCTATCCCTCATTCTAATTTTGAGTCCACCACAAAATTAGTAGCCTTAATGTATAAATTTATTTTTGATCTCAAAATGACCTCAAAGTGACCTCAAAAAAGGTCACTTTGAGGTCATTTTGCTTTATTGATGTAGTTTTTTTTTTTTACGTCATCAATGTACAATTATTAGTAAAGTTTATAACAATTTATAGATACACTTTATCGGTTACAAATAAAAGTAAACATAATTTATGTTCATAAATAAAACTTATGTCATAAGATCTTAACAAAAAAAAAAAAAAAAATACAATTTAAAGTTAAGATTTTCTTACAAGTTAACAATAATTTTTTTAACAATTAATACTCAACATTTGAATAAGCTTTAAAATTGTTTTAAAACTTATTTAAGCGCTTATATTTTTTTACATAAATTTTTTTTACATTTTTTTTAAATTTTTTTTACATTTTTTTTAAATTTTTTTTACATTTTTTTACATTTTTTACATAAATTTTTACATAAAAAAATATTATACTTTTGATGTATGTATATTTTATGTTGTTAAATGTATTCAGTTTACATCTAGTTATAATTCACAAAAATAATTTGATAAAATTCAATTCAATAGTATAACAGTTTAAAATTAAAAAAAAAAATTGATATTTGACTTCATTATTTAAAATACATTATCAAAATCCAAAATATAAGGTGACATGCGCCCACTGATCAGGTGGATTACCCATTAGGCAAACTAAATATTTGCCAAGTTAAATAGAGGCCAATAATTTTAAGGGGTATGCAAGAAATAACTAAGATTAATGTGAATAAGTTTATAAGTCTAATTATATATTCTTTGGTCAGTTTGTAGTTTTTAATTTATTTTACAGGTTGTGTTTATTTATTTATTTTTCATTTTTAATTTAGGCAACATCAACCAAAGCAGAAGCAAATTGTTATTGATTTTGATCGAATAAACACATTTAAACCTACTCCTACTGGAATGAAGTTAACTGATAACTTTAGTAAAATATCTATTGATGAGAACTAAAGTTAACATTTTATGTGAATTGAACTGTGCAGGTTGTTACTAAGTGTTGGGATGGAAAAGTTGTGAGGTTATAGAATAGCAGATGGATTAGTGAAGTACTGTCATTGTGGGGGATGTTGTGTTAGATTAGCAATGGATTGCCAAGCTAAAGCAAAGATTTGGGCAAAAGGTGATGTTTGTGCAAAAGTATATATTAAAAAGAAAGAGAGAAGAAAATTATAAAAAAGAAGAAGTTAAAAAATAAAATAAAACCCAAAAATTACATTTAATATTAGGTAAATGTATAAATAAATATAAGTATATATATTTTACATGATTTATAGTAAACAATGTTTTTGCTATTTTTTAAATGTTTTTATGTTAATTTAGTTTAAGTGATATATTTTTAAATTATATGACTTTTATGTTTAATCTCTTTGATTTTTTATAAATCATAATTTGAAAAAATTTTTCAGTCCCAAACTGCATGAACATATATCTTATGAACCTGAACATATATTTTATCTTAATTTATAAAGAAAACTATGTGCAATGTGTTTATTTAATAATTGAGTATTTATTAACTTATATATATATATATATATATATATATATATATATATATATATATATATATATATATATATATATATACATATATATATATATATATATATATATATATATATATATATATATATATATATATATATATATATATATATATATGTATATATATATATATATATATATATATATATATATATATATATATATATATATATATAATTTTTTAAATAATCTAATGAATAAATGTGTAACTCTTAGTTAATTTTGATTGTTAGAGAACTTTATTTAGAATATAAAATTACATAATTATTTATACATAGCTATTCATTTTTTTATAAAAGTTTTAGCATCACAAATTAAGTAATTATTTATACTTTATATTTTGTAATGCCACTCTTTGCTCTACTAAGGCATTGGGGCATGCTTTCTATGCAGGTTTTTTCTTTGTGCTAGAAACTCGGCTGTGATGCCATCCTCTAAGAAGTTTAAACTTGTAAATAATATTCTCTTTGAAATATAATTTTAAATGAATATTGAATATGATTTGTACTAATTTTAATGCATAAATATCAATTCATAACCATTCTAATTTCTCATTATGGAGAAATATTTTTTTGTGGATCAAAGAACAGTTTCTCAAATGGTAATCAGTAATGTTGGTAAAAAAAGTTATACAACATATATATATATATATATATATATATATATATATATATATATATATATATATATATATATATATATATATATATATATATATATATATATATATTAAAATAATAATAAAATACAATTAAATTTGTAACATAACTCAGAGTTTCACGCTTTATGCGATCATTAGACGTTACAAACAACCATAACAACAACAAAAATTATATACAAAGATACAATACAGTGTTAGCTTAGATGACGTTAAAGTTGCAGATAAGAAATTTGTTTTCAAAGCGACATTTAGATATTAATTCATTTCGTTTATTTAATAGTTTTAAAGATAATGTAATGATATGGTATCATATTAACTCACACAATAAAAAAGTATTATCTAATGTTTCCAACACAATTGTTCCATTGTGTAACTATTAGCAACCTTCAGAATGTCCTTTGCAAGGTACTTGTCTTAGTAAAAATATAATTTATATCTGCAATGTAAAAACATCACCGCAGGATAGTGGTTTAAATTATATTGGTTTAACAGAGCACACCTTAAAGATCGCTGGTACAAGCATAAGAACTCCTTTCAATACGAAAGTAAGGCTAATGCCACAGAACTTTCTAAATATGTCTGGGAAATGAAAAAAAAAGGATTTTCAAATCCTATTATTACGTGGATGATTATTGATAGGGCGGAACCTTTTAAACCTGGAAGAAAGTTATGTAACCTTTGTTTAACAGAAAAATACCATATCATTACATCATCTTTGAAACTATTAAATAAACAAAATGAATTAATATCTAAATGTCGCCATGAAAACAAATTTCTTATCTGCAACTTTAACGTCATCTAAGCTAACACTGTATTGTATTTTTGTATATAATTTTTGTTGTTATTATGGTTGTTTGTAACGTCTGATGATCGCATAAAGCGTGAAACTCTGAGTTATGTTACAAATTTAATTGTATTCTATTATTATTTTAATATAATATAATATATTTGTTCTACTTTTGTATTGAGCACTGTCTACCGAAAAATTACTCTTATTACTGGTGTATATATATATATATATATATATATATATATATATATATATATATATATATATATATATATATTTGCCCATACTAAAAAAAATGAGAAGTTAGAATGGTTAATAATTGAGATTTATGCATTAAATGCATTATATATTTTATTTTATACTTGTTACAATCATATGTTTGTAACGTAAATTTTACAAGAATATATACATAACAAGTATCGTTTATTACGCAGTGAAAAAATTCTTTAGACAAGCGTTGTCTTTGAGTTTTCACACTAGCCATCCATTTATTTATTTACAACAAAAATAATTTGATAAAAAATTTGACAAAGAGCTATAAGAGTTTTTACTGGTTATAAAAAATGTTTTATATTTTCTTATTTGAATAGAATGCAGGCATTTTAAGAAATATTACAATTAAAAGTTCCACAATAAAAGTAAATAATATATTAAAGTAATTAATATAGAAAATATATAATTCATTACATGAAATAAAAATTGTTATGCAATAATTTAGAATGTAATAATTTTATTTTTTATCAGTTAAATAATTTTATATTTTATCAATATAATTTAGAGTGTAATAATTTTATATTTATCAGTTAGTTCTAACTAATCAACATTTATATCGGCATTCTTTTTTATTTATTTATAATTTTAATTTTTTTGCAACAACTGTGTCTTTTAACATAGTTATAAGAAAGATATAGTTTAGAAGCGAACAAAGGCGCATTGTTTTAACTCTTTCAAACTATTTTTTCTCGTTTCCGGACTTCCGAACCTGCACAGAGAGATTGTTGTTGTTAGCGTTTGCCTGTTATTTTATCAAGTTGTTTTGTGTTTTCATTGAAATTGCTTTTTCTTGATATATCTGGTGAAAATTGTGCAATATGTGGTTGTTCAGCTTTAAGAAGACAAAATAGACGCAATATTTTTTTTACCAGAAACAGCTGGATCCATAGAGCTTTGTTTATTATGCCACCAGAATCATCTTATTTAACTATTACCAGAAGTATATAGAAATTTGCTTTATGATGGATAATTTTTTTAATTGTTTAAATGTAAAGAACCGTTTTGAAAATATAACAAAAAGAAGCCATTTTTAAAACTTTATAAATCAGCAGATGATTTTTTTGGTTGATTGAATCACTAAAATGATAAATTGTAGAAAGTTTCAAGCACTCATTAAAACTTTCTTCTAGTTGATCTATAGATCAACTAGAAGAAAGTTTTAATGAGTGCTTGAAATTACCAATGTTTTTTCTTTACAAATTTACAAAGATTTTTAAATTCATTTAAAGAAGTTGTTTAAGTTTTACTTCAAAATAATATTCAATTAGTTCTTCCTGAAAGATTTGCAGAAAAGATATTCTATCACAGATTTTTACTACAATATCAATGCAATCAAGCTACAGTTTTCAGTTTTTCGAATTACTAGTAATGTTAAATGTAATGACAACATTCAAAATAATAGTCATTAAAAACCAACATTAAGCTCTAAAATGTTCAAATTATATATATATATATATATATATATATATATATATATATATATATATATATATATATATATATATATATATATATATATATATATATATATATATATATATATATATATATATATATATATATATATATATATATATATATATATAGATATATATATATATATATATATATATATATGTGTGTGTGTGTATATATATACATACACATATATAAACTAGTACATCTGATTTATCTGAAACTCCCATTAAATCACTTAGATTATACAACTTTAATCTTTTTTTAGAAAGACTAGTAAAGTAAGGTTCTGATAATATATGATATTGTGATAATGTATTGAGATAAGTTTTAATTCTTACATATATTACTTGAGTTTACAATAGATTTCCTTTAATGAGTGAGTTTCCTAAAATGAGTTCAAAATTTTTTTTAATTGTTCACATAAATTTTTTTTCCAGTTTTGATGTTTGAAATGTTTTTCTTTTTCTGAAAATGTTGTGTAACTTGTTTATCAACATTTCTGATTACCATTTTAGAAACTGTTCTTTGATTCACATGAAAATATTTTTCCATAATAAAACTTTTAACTTATGTAACGACAGTCAATAAAGTTATTATATTTGCACATACATCAGAGGTATTTTACATTATTTTTTCTATTTTATATTTTTTTTAAACACTCTAGCGTTTTCTTGTAACTTAAAGAGATTCTGTTTTATAGACTCTTTTATTTTTTTACTTTTTTTTATTTTTGTTGTCAAGCACAAAATTTGTTGGTCAAAAATCATTAGAATAGACGCTTTTTGCCGTATACTTTTCAAATCTCACAGTACAACATTTGAAATATTCCTTACAGATGGATCCTTTCTGTTAGAATTTTATGAATCTACAAAATAAATGTTTTTATAAGATCTGCTTTTTGAGGAAGAACTATTTATGTTCCTTAGCTCAGCAAAACACTCTACAAAAGCATACTTTACAAGATTTTGACATAAAAAGAAAAGTGTCAATTAAATAAAAAACTAAATAAATGCAAATAAATTATAAGAAATTATTTCCATTTTGAATTTATTTGACTTAAAATATATAAATATATTTTGATATTTTGTGAATAAAAGATTATAGAATATACAGACAGTACAGTCTTTTTTTAAATAAATGGTATTTTTTTTTATAATGTTTTATTTATGAACATTAAAATAAGTTTTAATACATTACACTTTTCATATTAAATTTTACAAGTTAATTATCTTGATATTGCTTTTAAAATACTTTCAACAACAACTTATTTTAAACAATAAGTTGAAAACTAAATTCTGAATTTTTTTTTTTTACTTTAAAAAAAACAACTTTAGAGTATAACATTTCAAAATTGAGTTAAAAAATTATCAGGCTTGAAAAAATTAATTTAAAATTACAATTACGCTTGGAGCATGGAAACTTTGATATTCTATAAAGTTTTTATATTATGCAAAATGCTTTTAAATAAAGTAACAAGCTGCTTCTAATGAATGTTTTCATTAGACATTTTATTAAAATTATTTATAATTTTTAACTTTTATATTTTTATATTTATTTATGTGTGTGCTATTTTTATGATAAATTTAAATTTTCCAAAAGATTTTTTTTGATTAATACAGACATCATTCTTAATAGCACTTTATACTAAATAATACAAAAAATTAATAATGTTTCGTGTTTCTGGAAAAGATGGCACTCAAGTTGATAAAGATAGTGAGAAAAAAAGAGCGGCAAGAGAACTACAGAAACAACTTTTTTTATTTGGTGGAGTTGTAATAACAATAAGAATGCGTAAGTTTATTTTTGTCTTGAGTCACTAAAATGTCAATATTTACTAGTGAAAATTTATAATTCTCGGTAACATTTTCATTGATGATCAATTGGTTTTAAATCTAAGTTTGTTTTCCGATGTTGTACTGGTTTAAGCTAAAACAACAGTGCTTTCTATGTTTTACTCAAATAGAAATATTACAATTTTAATTGTTAGATTACTTTGAGAAGTTTAAGTAGAGAATCTTTTAATTTACATTTAGTTTGACCTTACTAACAGTTTAATGGGTACAACAATGTTACGTACTTTTTTAAGAAAGTCTAATTACCTTTTATTATCATTACATTTTTTTTTTTTTTATAGTTCCTCGATTAATTTCTCTACTACATTGAAGTTTTCTGATGACGAAGAACATTAAAATTAGATTTAATATTATAAATATATTTTAACAACTTGTTATATTTTTTATTTTGTGGAATTTCATTCAATATCAATAATGCGGGGACAATTAAAGACTTTTTTTTGCTTGGGTTTTTTTGTTAATTTTGACTATATTTGGCAAGTTGATTCTAGGTCTGCAGTTAGCTTAGCATGTCAAGTTTTGTCCACTTTACCCTTTTGATAAAAATAAGTTTTTATGAAAAGCTTTTGTTCGCACCCAAGGCATAATTAAGACAGTATGATGAGAAGTATGTTTTGCTCACAATCATGCAGTTCTATAAGTATATATTTTTTATCAATATAGATTTATTTTATTTTTTACTTTTTTAGAATTTATTTTCAATGCTTAATCTTTTTTTTAATATATATATATATATATATATATATATATATATATATATATATATATATATATATATATATATATATATATATATATATATATATATATATATTAGGGTGTCTCAAAAACAAACTTTTTTTAAAATTTCAATGTGCTCTCAACTGATCCCCATTCTATAGGTCCTAAATAGCTACCAAAATCTTTTTTTTAATGACTAAAAGTGATAGATGTAAATTCTGAGTTTTACGGTTTTGTACACGTGTGTAAAAACAGCGTTATCTAGTATTTCAATTTGTTTTAATATGATGTAATAATTGGTACACAAATAATTCCCATAGGATATTATTAAAGATTAGCATCATTCCATATGAACATTGTTAGCGATTGATATAATTTCTTCTGAAAATTATTAGTTGGTATAATTCCCCCTGGATTGTTTCACAAATAACTCCATTTAGAATTTTTTTTTGAATTATTTGTGCACAAAGGAATTCTAATTTGTGCATGATGAAGTTCTTGTGTAAACGGGTATAAAAGCCATAACGGTAAACTTAGATAAAATATGTTACGAGAGGGAATAAGGACTTCATAGATTTTTGAAAAATTTAGTATAAATTTAGTTAAAAAACTGATTATTTCAAAATTCATAAAAAAAAAGGGTAGAGCAGCTAAAAAAAAGAAGATGATGGGACAGAATAAGAAAAAATGGAAAAATTCAGAGGGGTTGAGGTATATTTACCTATTGAAGTACCCATTATGAATTTACCTCAGAGACAGCTTTAATCTAATGGTGATATTATAAGATACTATCAATTTATCCTTCGCAAGTCACAGGTTAAATACAAACCTACTTCTACTAATGTTGGTTGCAAGTCAAAATCGAAATCCAAGGATCTTGTTTGTGAAAAGAAGTTTGTACAGATCCTGATAATTCTTGCTTGGTAACTAGGATTAAAATTTTTTTGGATAATACTGGGTTTGACAAGAAATTCGTGATTTCTGGGTACAATATAAAAACCAAAATCATTAAACTAAATTTAAAATGCAAGAAAGTGATTAAATTGTCTTTTCTAAACTGGAACAGCAGCCTTCAAAAGCAATCAGCAGCCTTCATAAGCAATTAAAGTTAGAGAGATTTCCTCACAGCTTTTTAACATCTATCCTATCAGCTTTTTAACATCTTGACTAAGAATTTTTAAAAAGGTATTATTGCTGATAGATTGAGAACAGATAATGCCAAGCTGGAAGATATAAAGTAAGTTCATTAAATTACTTTTTTTTAGTAGTGAGATTTTCTTTCCAATTTAAAGTAACTTAAGTAATAGCATATTATTTCCTTTAAAATATTTACATTTAACTCTTTCCATGGTTTGATCATCTTCTAAGAAAAAAGTTTAAATATGTAGAACTTGAAAGAGACTTGGAGCGGACTTCAATAACTAATCATCTTAAAAGCCAACAGCATATTCTTCATTTTGATACCAAACTGTTGGAACAAATTACCACTGGGCTTAACATTATTCAAAAAATTGAGCAACTTGCAGTCTCAGTGAGTTGCCCAGATGAGAAAACTAAAGGTCCAAGAAGAGCTCTTTATGTCAAGCTAAAGAACAAGTGGCCTGAAATCTGTGAGAAGGTTAATAAAGTGAAAAATTTATGAAAATTGGACTGGCAAAAAGATAATCTGAAGATTGGCTCTGTACTTGTACTATGCGATTTGCTAAAAACCATGCCTCATCAACACATCTTTTTCTGTCAAGATATGTTTGTTCATTGCAATTTGCTATGTTCCATGGTTTTTTGAAAAATTTTTTAGGATTTCTGGCTCCCTACAATGATTTGAAGGCTATCAATTTCAGCGTTGTAAACCATCAAATATACAAATTAGAGACCACAGAGTTACCTGAGTTGATTTACGACCTTCTCTTCAAACATTTTAAAATATCAAGTATAAAATAATGACTCAATAATAGTCTTAATACTATAGATGCTTTTAACCATCCTCAGTTGCTAGATTTTATTGCATGGATCGAAAACATATCTGTTGTAAATGATGGTGCAGCAAGAAGTATTAAGCTCATTAAAGATTTTATTTTAGCTACTAGAGATGAAGATCACCTTCAAAATGTATTTTTTGTAGTTAAAAAGTCTAGAAAAAACTTGACTAAGAGTATGACTAAAAAAGAGCTTGGGAACTGTTCAAAAAGTTGTATTTTTTGAGAAATGTTTCACCGCAATAAAATCTTAAATTTGCTAATAAATATTAGTTTTAATGTATTTTTTTTTTTGTATTTTCATTGGCTGCTCTTGCAGCCAACCTTCAACCTCTGTCACATTGTCTTAATGTTGCTTCTCTTTCTCTTTTCTACAAATACTATAATGGGCACTGCTCTAAAGAGCTAGCGTCTCTTGTGCCATCTACTAAAATTCATTCTCATGTTACTCGTCATTCAATTAAGTCTCATCCTTTTTCTGTTACTGTTCCTAAGTGCTCCAAAAACTCTTATTCGTCTAGTTTTTTTCCTCGAACATCAGTTCTTTGGAATTCGCTTCCTTCATCTTGCTTTCCTGATTCATATAACTTGCAATCTTTTAAGTCGTCTGTCAATCGTTATCTTGCTCTACAATCTTCATCTTGTCTCTTCCAGTAACTTCCAACACTAATTAGTGGTTGCCTGCAGCCTTGTTGGAAGCGAAGATAAATAAAAATATATATAAATATATTTATAAATATAAATTATCAAGTTAAATAGTAGAAAATAATTGAAAATGATTTATACGCATATAATTGTTTTGTTTTAATTTTCTAAAATTTAAAAAGTTGTGTTTAAAACAGTAAAACTCAGATTTTATATATATATATATATATATATATATGTATATATATATATATATATATATATATATATATATATATATATATATATATATATATATATATATATATATATATATATATATATATATATATATATATATATATATATATATATTGCCTCAGGCAAATTATGCATTCATATTTACAACCCTCAGAATTAGGTCGGCAAAAAAAAAATCAATACAAAAGAAATTTAAAATTATGAATGCATGTTTAGATAAAGCAGCAGGCTATTTCAGTATGACCTCACTAAGGGTTTTTTTATGGGGCAGCAACCTTTTTTTTCAATTTTGTGTTTGTAGTACAAAAGTGTTATTCTCTGCAGAATATACCAGGACAATTGCCTCATCAAGAGTAATTGTCTCTTTGAGATGCTTTAGATAACTTGATTGTGATATTGTGATAAATAAATGAGAAATATTTTTATCTAGCTTTTCACACAGAAGTTCTTTGAACTCATTTAATAGAAGCTGTGTTCAGTTCAAAATTCAAATGTTCAGTTCTATGTGTTGTTGTCCACTGTTTTAAACCCACTTACTGTTCATTTTCATCACTGTCATCACTTTTATATTGTTTTTTTGGATCATCATCATGTTGTAAAAAATTTTGCGCAGCTTGTATGTGAGTCATGAAAACCTTTTTTTTTGTGCTGCAAATCAGGCAAAAAAAATAATCATTTCAATGATTTCATGGTATTAAAGCCTGCAACACTCACCATTAATTTCACACTTTGGTGTATTGTACAAGCTCAAACAGAATGTGTGCTTTTTGGACCAGCAAGAGTGCACTATTCAGGGTAGATTGCAAAATTAGAGAATCCAATTTATCTGCATTAAGATCTATAATGTAATCCAATAAATCCAATTAATCCAATATAATGTAATCCAATATATCAATTAATCCAATATATCTGCATTAAGATCTATAATGTAACACAAAATCAATTTTTTTGACACAGATATTTTTTTTTTGCAATATAACATGACTTTAATGCTCATCATCACAGTAGAAATGTTTTTAAGTTATAAAATAGTTTTGCTGATTCAATGCTGTTCAACCACATGCTATCCTAGCTAACACAAAACATTCATTCACGTTACGAACGTTCAAGCACATTCTATGAATGTTCATAGGACGTTCTGGGACGTTTATAGGACGACTGTTTTTAGAAACTGAAATTTTATTTGCTGTTTTTTAATAGATTCTAGGCTCAATTTCAAAAATTGAAGTTGCTGTCTTCAATTTTTTGGTCTTTATTATTTTTTTTTAATTTATGTTTTCTTTTATGCATTCAACAGCTCTAAATTTCTTGCTTTAATTTAATGATGGTGTTTGATGAAACAAGATCAATTTCAGCAACATAAGTGTATCTACGTTAACAATACAAAAGGTTTGTTTTGACCATTTTAAAATCAAAAAACTATAATCAAGAGTTAAAGTTGTACTATTTTCTATACATCTTTTGAGCACCTTTGAAAATGATCAGGAACCATTTTTCATACTGTTTTCACCAAGTCAAATTGTGGATTTAATGGGGGTTACTTTGCAAAAAATTAAATTAATTGCATGTTGCAAAATTGTGGGTTGATTTTTTTTTGGTGAAATAAAAACTAAATATATATACATTTAAAAAACTGTTACAATTAATTTTGTAGTTTTTGAGAAAATTTAAAATCATCCAAACTTCAACTTACCATACTTGCTAATAATTAAGGTTGTCATATTTAAAACATGTTATATAAATGTTTGTTTCATATATCATTTTTTTTTTCTTTCCGAAAAACAAGTATTATAAACTTGATTTTACAGAGTAAAACAGAAATTTTTCTATTCTTACAAAAAATTAAACGTGACCTGAGTGTTTATTTATTGCAACTCCATTTTAAAATGTTAGAACTTTTCCGCGTTAATATCTAAAAATAAAAATAAAACTTTATTTTTTCAACTTTTTTGCTTATAAATAATTATTAAATTTAATAGCAAATAATATTTTCAATAGTTATTATTAAAATATAAAATTTATTGCATAAATAGTTGTTACCTTTATAGGATCACTTAATATTTTCTCCCAACATTTAAAAATGGAGATGGAATAAATAAGCACTCAGGTCATATAAAGTCATTAGTCAGTCTGTAGCTTAAAATAATTTTATTTATATATATTGTTGGGGATAGTGCCAATCTGCAAAACCAGTATTGGAAAATTCCATGTATTTGCACTAGATATAGCTTTACAGGGGAAGAAAAAACATATATAGGTGTTAACGTTATTAATTTATATGCTCAATATTATTATTACAATTACTAAATTTAGCCCTATTCATGTTAAATATGTTTTTTTTATTTGTAGCATAAATTTATTTTTATGTAATTGTAGCATGAATGTATTTTTTATATGATTTTATATGGTGGTAGCATAAATGTATTTTTGGTTTGAATTTTTGTAAACTGTGAATTTTTTTTCTTTTTCTTTCTTATTTTATTTATCAATTGTAAATAAATTACTTAATATTAATTTTAATACTACTTCAATAACTTTTTTTTTTTAAAGATTAGTAAAATTTTAAAGAAAAAAAAAAAGCATTTGTAATAAAAAAGGAAAATGGCACCACCAACAGGAGGTAAAACTGCTTTGTTTTTAAACAAATTTAAAATTTTTTCATAAAAAATGTCAAAACATATGGAAATTTGTTAATACCTTGTATATTCAAATACTTTAAATTAATATATAGTATATTCAAATCCCTTAAGTTAAAACCTAGTATACTCTGATAGTTTAGTTTAATACATATTATATTCAAATACTTTAAGTAAATACATAGTATATTTAAATACTTTTCAGGTACAGAACCATTTTCGAATCCAATAGCTCCAGCTAACCATAAGATGTCAGAAGAAGAATCTAGGTATTATTTCCCAGTCACTTTATTTGTATTTTATTAAACATATAAATGTTTTATATTATGTATAAATTATTAAACATATAAATGTTTTATATTATGTATATATATATATATATATATATATATATATATATATATATATATATATATATATATATATATATATATATATATATATATATATATATGATTTTGTTATTTAACAGTTTCTCTATGATTTTGCTTGTATAAATCTCTTAAAATCCAAAGCAACAGAAAAAAATATAGTATGCATGACAAGTTTCTAGACTAACTTTAGCATCATAATTTTGAATTTTTTAGACATTTATAACTCAAATGATACAGTTAAATTTACAATGATACAGTTGACATCTATCCCTCAATCATCAAAGCAAACAAAAATTTGTTACAATTACTAAAATGTCTGCTTGGAATTTTACAATAATGGATCTCTATGTGAATATGGTTCTGCCCTGAGACATTAAACAGAGGCAGCAAAATCAACCATTTTATGGTACATTAAACCAGTTTTTGAAGTCTGGAAAAGTTGAATGCAAGTATACTAAAAGAAAAAAGCCAGTCAAACTAAAAATGTTTACCCAAGCAGTAAGAGATTAAAGTTATTGAAACCCAGTCAGATCAATGAGAAAGATGTCCAAGAAACTGGATCTAAGTTACTCTACAATAGGAGCCATTGTGAAGAACAATCTAAAGGCCAGATCTGGGGGCAGGACAAAAAGACACTTGCTTACTGAGAGACAAAAAACTTGAAAAATCCAAAAAAATACTGTGTATTTTGATAAAAAAGTGTGTCCATTATAGCAATTATGGTTGAAAAGATTTTACAGTGGATTTGATCTCAAATACTCAAACTGACCAGTGCATTTCAGACAAGGTACTAGAAGAATTCGTGGAAGACATCCAGTTTAAGTTCTAGACTAAGTATCCGGCCTTGGTAATAGTTTTTGACTGGTTCTGGTTCTGGTCCTGAATCTGTAATTTAAGTAATTAAGTCTGTAATTTAAGTAGATAGGGCCCATATTGAGTAATTTGTAACTAACACAGTGTACTTTCATTTAAAAAAAAAAAAAATAAATAAAGAAATTGGACACTCCTACCCTTTTTTATTTGAGTTTTTAGAATCAGTCTGAATTTATGAATTAGTCCAGAAATTTGTCACTCATGCTGTACTTGTTTTAAAAATGATATTTATAATGATTCTATTTGTAATATAGATGCTGTGACAAGTTAAGTCACAAAACACATATATGATAATATATGCATTATGACAGCTTAAACTGCTCACTTTATATATAATAATTTACAATTTAGTTTACTACACTACTATTTATTTATAATAATTTATAATTTAAAATCCAGAATGTTTAAAAAAAAATAAAGTTATAAATTTCATAAAATTTGTAATAGAATATTCTTTCTTTGAAAGAGTTTACAGTTGAGGCATTTACCAGGCTTGTCTAAACAAGTAATGCTTGATGCTTTCTTTTTCAATTCTAAGATTGTGACCTCTTGCTGGTCTATTTGCTTCCAATGACAGTGCAAACTTGTAGTTTGCTCTATGTTGTTCAATAATTTATATTCTTGTATAAGATGCCACGCAAAAGTTTTGTCTCCAACATTAGTTGATTTCGTTTTAGATCTAGGCTAGTCATTTCTTGGAAAACAGATTTTTGAGCTTTTGATCCAGTTTGGTTGCACAATATTGGACATTTTCCAGTGTTTCAATCTCACCTTTTAAAGAAGGATTCCATATAGGGATTGCAAACTCAAGGTTTAACAAGCACTATGTACAGATCATTTCCATATTCCAGGCCTTGTTAAGAAGTATTCATATTCATTTTACATATAGCGATTTCACTTATTTTTCTCTTTTTTTTATTGATTTCGCAATCAGCTATTTACGTTAAGCAAAAGCTTTTTATCTATTGAAATATTTTAAAAAAATTTTGATGTTTATGCAGAGTTTATTTAAAAAAACATTAGATTGTAATTAATAATTTTAAAAAGCATTCTCCATCATAGATAAAAATGTGTGAAAACAACCAAAAAGTTTATTTAATTTTGTTTAAGAGAATTCTATTCTCAAATGGATATAAAATTTTTTAATTTTTTATTAATTCTTTATCATGTAAAGTTATGGCTTAAGATTTATTTAAAGTTGTTATTTTTTAATTAGAAAAAAAAAATTGTAGTAAAGCAAACAAAAGGTTAAAATGTTGTCTATAAAATAGTTTTAAGAAATAAATAAAAAAAGAAAAATAACCTTTTTTAAATACTGAATTTCGATTTCATTATAGTTACACTTTTTAAATGGTTTTTAACATGATTTAAAATTGATTTTAATTACAATACAGTATTTTAAAATATGCTGATGACACTGTTTAACCTTTAAAATATGCTAAGGACACAGTTTAACCTTTAAAATATGCTAAGGACATAGTTTAACCTTTAAAATATGCTAAGGACATAGTTTAACCTTTAAAATATGCTGAGGAAACACTTAGAAATATGCAATGAAATTTTGTTACTAGGCCTGATTCAGATGAGTGAAGGTACTCTTGATGGTTCTGAGTACATTCTGTGCTTTTGCTGCCACTGCATTGATTTGATGCCATTTTATGTCTGACAATATCAACATGCCAAGATCACACTCTACTTTTATTTTGCCAAGTTTGTAATCGACTTCATTTTTTGGTCATAGTATAGATAATCTGGGGTTTTTTTTTCCAATGTGCATAACCTTGCACTTCAGTTTGTTTAAAAACAGTTAAACTTGTGCTGTCTGCTATGGAATATTTCCTGTTATGTTACCATCTGAGCTTTAAAAATCCAAAATGTTTAAAGAAATAGAGTCTCATAAAATTTGTAATAAAATAAATAATCAATAAAATTTTCTTTCCATTTTGGTCTTTAGGATGTCAAAAGCTGCTTAATCTAATGCTGAAATGTCACAAATTTTGCTTAATGTCAAGAAATTGCTTAAATCTAATGCTGAAATGTCACAAATTTATCCATGCACAAAATATTCTTATTCTTTTTTAGCTGTAAAGTTTTTTTTTAATTCTATATTTGCTTACTTTTATACAGTTTTAGATTCTAAATTTGTTTATTTTCACATACCAGTTCTCTGATTGAATCAATCTGATTAAACCAAAAATTTTCCTTAAAGGGATCTCAAACTCCCAACACATGTTGTCTTCATATTAAAGATAATGTTAAAGAAAAAGGTTTGAACCAAGTTTTTTTGATTAAAAATAAATAATGAATGCATACCGAGAAAAACTAATGTTGTTGTTTAAGCCGAAGCTCGCCTTCTCCTTTAAATTTTATGTCACAATTTACAGACTTCGGCGATTCCTTTGAAGCGCGTATAATCCATAGAAGTGTTAGCATTTGACGTCACAGTAGACTTTTGATAAATGAAACTCTGGAAAACTTTTTATTTTGATTCATAAATTTATTCATTATTTATTTAGTAATTTATTTTCTAATTTTAACGTTTAAAAAGATATTATAAACCTCAAATATTTTATGCTCAATTGTTGCTATAAATTGTTATTGCGCTATATTTAATGTTAATAATTGATGAAATATTTATTATCTCAATCAAGATTCTGATAAAAAATTGTTTTATAATAATTACCCATATAAATTTAGTTACAACATTTTTATTTGGTTAGATGATATTTCGTCTGAATTTGCTTTGCGTGAAGTTCGGAAAGTCAAACGAAAAAAACTAGTTTGAGTAATCACGTCTAAATTTAAAACAAATTCTAAAGTTTTTTATAACATATGTAGGTAAAAAATAAATAACTAAATAAAAAGTTTAACAATAATCATTTTTTTTTTATTTATATTGCAACTGTAAATATTGAAATTTTAACTTGAACTAAATTTACTTATTATTTAGAACGACTATGCAATAAAAATAAAAAGCCCCTAAAATCATGTGATATTGTGTTGTTTATTTGATTATTGTTGTTGTTTATGTTGATTATTTTCATTAATATCTAAATAGTCCCAGATTAAACTGTTAGTTGCTTTGCTCATTGTTGATTTTTTTCTAATTTAATTTTATCTCTAACTTTAATTCTATGTTAAGAAAGAAAAGTTTTGATTTAATTGCGCGCTCTTTTTATAAAAGAATAGAACAAAAGAGAAAGAAAAGTTTTGCGTAATTAAACTTCGAACGAATAAGAGTTTCACAGAATATATATATTTTTTGCATCACTCGTTCTTTTTTTAGATTATAGAGAAAAAGTTTAATTGTAACTTTTCTTTGAATAAATGAGAATTGGAAGAGAAAATTGCTTCAAAACTTATATTTGTCAATTTTGTTAGTTTAAATATGTTTTTTAACGCGCGTTACAACATTTTAACAATTTAAAATACCATCTTGAATTATTGAGATTAATTAATGTGTTAACTATTGCATTAATTAATAATAGTTTGTATGTATTTTTGTTAAATATTAGTTATATAAAACGGGCGAAAATATACGTGCTTCATGTTTTTAATTTGATGGTTATAAAATATTGAACAGTAAACTTATAATCAAAATTTATAATGCCGACTTGTGCTGCTATTAATTGTACTTGTAATGCAAAGCCAGGATCTCACATATCCTTTCACGAGTTTTCATATATGATACTACTGTCAACTGTATTGTTTAGAGTATTCTTGTACTTTTTTTTCATAACCTTAACAGGATCTAATTGGTATGGAATTGCCGACATTTTAAAAGTTTCGTTATCAAAAATAAAATGCATAATAAAATGATATTTCCTTTTTATTCATATCCAATTCAGCAAATTTCGCTATTTGCATTCAATCAATGTAATCAAAAAATTTATATAATAAAAAAAAATTTAAATTTCATCAATTATCTCTAATTAATACTGTCAGTTAATGAAAGTAATTGTTATTACTTTTTTTTGACTGGAAAATTGCATAAAAATGCATTGCATAAAAATGACCAGAAAAATTAGAAAATAGTTCCTATTTTGCAAAATAAAAATTAGTAAGATTCAGATTATATACTACTGCGCTCTCTTACACAAAAATGAAAGACCGTATTTGTAACGTTCTATATAATGTAAAATACTCGTATGAAAATCATAACATTGGTAAATAAAGCTTTAATATTTGTTTTAATTTAAAAACAAAAGAAATATAAGTAAGATATATAAATCTAAAAATTATCAAGATATCTGTAAAAAATAAGTTGCTCCTATAAAATAAAAGTATTTTATTATTTTTACTTTTTACAAAATTTTTTTTGCGATGATGGAAAAATAATACAAATAAATTTGTTTTGCTGTATTTTAAAAAAATACTACATCGTACTTTTTGAATTTAAGTAGAAAACCGTAGCTTCGTTTAATTACACTTTTCATTTGTTAAAAGTCTACCGTGATGTCAAATACTAAAACTTTTATGAGTTATACTCGCTTCAAAGGAATCGCCAAAGTCTGTAGATTGCAAAGTATTATTTAAAGACTCCGAGTTTTTGAATAAAATGGAGAAGGCAAGCGTTGGCTAAAACAACAATATTAGTTTTTCTCAGTATGCATTCATTATTTATTTTTAATCAAAAAAACTTGGTTCAAACCTTTTTCTTTAACATTATCTTTAATATGAACACAACATGTGTTGAGAGTTTGGGATGCCTTTTACCTCTATATGGTAATGTTTTTGTATGTTGAAGTACAAGTTTATTATTAGTCATTGTAAAAACAAGTTTGTTATTAGTTATTACCATGCCAATTAAAAGTTTTAATCATCCATAACTCTACATCAATATATATTATAAAGTTCAGAAATTTAACTTTTTTTGTGTACAAATAGCATTGTTGCTGAAGACCTTTTATTTGTAGGCCCATACAAAAAAATGACTTTCACAGTAATATTAAATTATATTAATAGTAATATTAAATTATATTAAAGTAATATTTCAAAGTAATATTAATAATAATTAAAACTTATATGTATTGAAATATATTACTTAACTAAAATTAGCTAAGAAAATTTAAAATATTATTGTATTTAAAGTCAAAAGTTGTGTGACATAATTTATATAGGACCTCGTATGAAGACATCAAACACGTACATTAGACATTTTCAATTTTTATTCTTTAGTATTCGAAAAGAAAATTTTGAAATAATTTTAAAAGAAAAAAAGCTGTTAAAAAAGTAACGCAGTAACTTTTACTCTGAGTACATTTTTAATGAGCTACTTTTTACTTTTACTTGAATAAATTTTTGGACTGGTAATGTTTTCTTGTAATTGAAAAAAAATTTCATTTAAGTAACAGTACTTTTACTTGGTTACAAAATTACTTTTACTTGGTTACAAAATTACTTTTTCCACCTCTGGTGAAAAGGAACTAATATGGTCTATTTTATATAGACTACTTTTAAAGCTCAAATATATATTAATTATTTTTAAAGATTTTTTAAAATATATAGTAATCTTTAAAAATAATATATTAATTATTTTTAAAGATTTTTTAAAAGATATTCATAAGAGATTATGTTTAAAAATATAAGGATATACGTGCTTTATAACCATTATTTATAAAAAGCATGGAATACATTCTTGTATAATTTATGTATGCTAGGTTATTTTTTATAGGTTAACAAATGCTGATTTTCGATCTTTGCTAATGACACCTCGTGCAACTCCTTCTGTTGCTCCACCAAAACTACGACTTGGGTATTGTTGTCTATTTCTTTTGTTATATTATTTTCTTTACATGTATATAACCACCTTCCCAAGACCAAATAGGGTACTACAGTCAAGCAGGCTGATTGTTTATTTTAAATATCAGGACTTGAGTTAATTTAAAAGAGTTTAATCTCAAAACATGCTCCCTCCCTTTTTTTTATAATGGCTGGTTGTTAAAACCAATTCTTTTTTGCTATACAGCTATATATATATATATATATATATATATATATATATATATGTGTGTGTGTATATATATATATATATATATATATATATATATATATATATATATATATATATATATATATATATATATATATATATATATATATACAGGCCTTGCGATGAATAAGAACTGCGCGACGCATAAGTGCGACGTGATTTTTGACGTCATTAAATTCTTTTATTTGCTTTTCATATTTATCGACATTAACTGCACCAATTTACTTAATTACGACAAAACTACTTTAAATCGTTTATGTAGAAATGTTATTATTTAAAAATGTTTTGGAATGTTTCGTTTTTTAAAATGTAAAAACATTTGTTTATTTTCTTGACGTTTGTCACGTTTTGTCTATACTAAACGAATAAAAAACATTACAACTTAAATTTAAAAAAGATTATAAAATATGCTAATATTTGATTTTTTTTTCTTAAATATGTAATTTAAAGTTTTTCAAATAATTATTTTTTCTTTTTAAAAAGTCAGCGAGTAATAAACTGGAAATTTTAATATTGTACGATTAAAAACTGTGCAATAGCTAATATTTTTACAAGCGATTTTATATAAGATTTATTTACTTATTTTTATTTATTTTCATAAAGTGGTTGGATAAGCACAATCACTCGTATTAATAAAAAACTTAAACGAACGTTTTGAATAGATTTTTAATGTTAACAAGGAATTTTATTTCTAGCAAAATAAAATAAAATGTTTGAATAAAAATCTTATAGATATAAAAGAAATATTTCAGCGAAAAAATTATTCTTAAAAATTATTATTAAAAATTATTCGAAAAACTATTGAAGTTTTATTTTTCAGCAGCTGTTCTTGAGCACGCTTCGTTGAGTTACGGTAACTTTTAACATAAAAGCGATCGTTATTATTTAAGTAATTTTTTTGAGTTACTTTTTACAAAAATTTTAATAACTGTACTTTTTTATTGAATCAAGTAGAATACGTTTTAATATAAATCCTTTTTTTTTTTTTTTTTATTTGCGCTCACTAATTTTTAAAATGTTTCCTTGAAATTACTCTTAAATACTTTAAATACGTCTAACAGTTAATAAATATTTTTAAATCTATGGAATAATTTTAAAACCTAACAAACCCCCGTAAAATAATTATTTAAGTTTAAAATCTAAAACTAAAAGAAAGTATTTTTGTTCAATTTTGCTTTTGCTGAATAATTTTATTAAAATGTTAGCTTAAAAGATTTAAACTTTTTTTTTAATCTGAATTTTTTTTGCTTGTAAATAATGAGCATATTTAATTTTTTTTAATTCAAACTTTTATTTCAACTGCGTGCGGTTTTTAAAATACTTTATTAAATGTTAAAATAATCGTAAATTACTTCATTAAAATTCCGCTCAAAAATATCTTTAAATATACTCAAACAAAAAAATTTTTGCTCGACGCAAATAGCCCTAGCTACACGCAAAATCGCTTTTGGACAACGTAAAGTTCACATCGCCCGACGCTTTATCGCAAGGCCTGATATATATATATATATATTTTTGTGAAGATTTTTAAAATGTGTGTTTTACTATAATTTGATTAAAATTGTAAAAAAAACGATGGAATTTTCGAAGAAAAAAAAAACACCTTATAATTTCACTTTTTTAATTTTTTATTTTGCCAAGTTTAACCAACTAAAAAAAGTCAAACTTCACAAATTAATTGAAATACACACAATAAAATGTGATCAAAATCAAATTCTCTAAAAGTTGAAATTTATCATATTATTCAAAACTTTCATTTAACTTTTATTTAGGTTTCATTTAACATTTTTTCCAATAAATAATAAAGAAAAAAAATTATTTTGCTTTAATTAGAACTTAAATTTGAATAAAACTTATAACAGAATATTTTTGTTTTTGTTTCACATTTTTAATGTGTTTTAATAGAATATTTCTACATTTTAAATAGGTTTTCAAAAATTATAAATATAGCAAAAAATTTACAAAAAAAATATAATCTTTTTTGTATTAAAAAGCAGTAAATGAACTTTTAAATTTAAGTTTAATAGTTCAGAAAACTATTAAAATTGACAGGTCTGCACAAGATTTATTTAGAAACTGACTTTTCAATCTTTAGTTTACTGAACTATTAAATTTAAATTAAAAAGTTTATTTTACATTTTTTCATACAAAAAATATATATATATTTTTTAGCAAATGTTTTTGCTATATTTTGTTTTGTACTTTTTTAGTCTTTACAATGAGTTACAGTATTTAACAATGCGAATTATTGTTATGCAACATTGTTATTGTAATGTAGCATTGCTTAGTAGCAAGTAACATTGGTGCAATATTGGTACAATATTTATCTCAATGTTAGCCAAATCATTTAGACAAAATTGAGATTTATCTGCTAAATGTAGATAACAATATTGCCATATAAAATGTCCATATTTTGATGTATATATATAGCAAATTGTAGCTTATATATTGTCGTAAAAGATTTACAATAATATATAAACTGCAATATAATGCCAACAGATTTTTTTATCATATTCAATAAAAAAACATGATGTAACAAATGATGTAACAAATAAAAATGTGGACAATTTAAATGATGATGTAACAAATAAAATTGTGGACAATTTGCTTGGTGAAGTGGTCAAGTGAAAGAAAAGAATATACTAAGTATATTATAATAAGTAAAGTATTTTGCAATTTAAAAAAATGTTAAGTTATGTCATAAAAAATTTTTAGGTTTTTAAAATTTCTTTCTTGCTATTTCTAGATTTGGTTGTGTGTATTTTGATCACATTTGATTGTATTTATCTTCTAAATTTTTTCCTTGCTACTATAATTTTAATAGTCACTGTAGTTTCCAATCAGTTTACTTTTTTATTTTAGTTTTAAGATAACATTAAAATTTTAAACACAACATGAAAGCTAGAGTTTTTATGTTGTCTTCAAAAAATCTATGTTAATAAAGATTTAAAGAATTTCTGAAAATGGTTTTTATATTTAAAATATCTCACAAAACTTTTTTTATTATTTAAATATTTTGCAACACTGTGATTTATATATGTTTAACTTTTGAATGTAAGTGTCCCAAAAGAATTCGCTGATGCAGATGATGCCTATGCCAAACGAAGAAAGAAAAAACTTTATTACGCTAAACTAAAAAAACAAGAAGAAGAAAGAGAAAAAGAGCTTAATGCAAAATATAGAAACAGGGTGATGTTATTATTAAATAATGGAACATTTTTAATTAGAAACATTAAGTCTTTATAAAATAATAGCAATAGTAAGAAATAAAATGTTTAAAAAAATAAAATCAAAACTTTATTTTTCAGGCTCTTGAAAGACGCGAAGGCAAAAATGCAGATTATCAGCATAATGATGCACCTGATCTTGCTAAAACAGCGGAATATCGTGCTGTAGCTCCTACTGCAGATCAAGTGTATGTTATTTTTAAAATTTAGATATTCCGATTAGGTATTAATAGTACTACACTAACATTTTTTTAAACATTTGATAATGAATTACATAATTTAATATCCTTTGGAATCTATCTTTTAATTTTGAAAAATGCTTTTTTGTTTCTGAAATAATTATTGTCTAAGTCTTAGAAGAAAAAGTTTATTGTGTACAGTAAATGTGTTTTGTCATTTTTTAAAGAACATCTGCAGCAGAACGACGTCGTTTAGCTATCCAAGAAAGTAAGTTTTTAGGAGGTGATATGGAGCACACACATTTGGTGAAAGGTCTTGATTTTGCACTCTTACAGAAGGTATAAGAAAAAAAAGTTTTTAAAAATAAATGCAAATGAAAAAGGAAAATTGAAAAAAAATGTTTGTTCTTGTTAATGGATTTATATGCTCTATTTAAACTAATGATTTGTATGCTCTATTTAAACTAATTTATATGCTTTATTTAAACTAATGATTTGCTAAGGTTCGTAGTGAAATAGCATCACTTGAAACTATGCAACCAAAAGAGATTGAAGAAGCTCATGAAGCCGCTAATAAAAAGTACTTTTTAGCACTTAATAGACTGTTTTTACACTTATTTTTGTCCATTAACACATTGTATTTTATTTTATGATAATTGTTTAGAACAGAAGATGCAACTCAAGGTATCGAGTTTCAAAGTATAACAGGTAAAAAAAAAAACTATCAGTAATGGCATGTTACATCATAATTTTACTAAATAATTTACTAATTTATGATTTTTTTGCATTTAATTATTTGATTTATTTAAGCTGTTATTTTTAGGACGAAAAATTCACAAAGCAGCTTTAAGCAATAAGCCACCTGCAAGAAATGAACTATTTCTTCCGAAGAGAATGGTAAAATATTTGTATTTATATAGAGTATTGCATTCAGCCATGTTTTATTATAGTTCAACAAACTGGCAGATCATATTGCACTTTTTGTTGTCGTTGTTTATGAGTATGCTTTTGTTTTCTTTTTAAAAATAAAGTTTTAGTATTTGGGTTTTAACCCAAATACTAAAACTTTATTAGGAATTTGGGAATTGTTTCTTGGCTTAAACATAGTTCTCACTTTTTTTCTTATTTATTTTGTTAGATACATTGTATACTTAAATAAGATTAAATGTCAGCAATTAATTTAGGCATATGTGTTTAATTTGGATGATGAGTTAGATGATTCTGACATTCCAACAACATATATACGAAGTAAAGCAGATTGTCCAGCTGTTGAGGTTGTTTTTTTGTTTGTTTTGATTTTCGATTGAATCAATGATACCTAAATATTTAAAAATGTTTTGCCTCATATGATTTTGCGTAGCAAATAACATTGTTTTCTTTATCATACATGGTTACACATATTTGTATTATTTTTTTTCTTTTCTTTTACATTTACATGAAATTTTACTTTTCTACTTTTTTTTTTTTAATTTAGAATCAAGCAACACTTACAACAAATGACATTGTGATCAATAAATTGACACAAATATTGTCATATTTGCGTCATGGAATGCGTGCCAGCAAAAAATTTAAGAAAAGAGAAAAAGAGTTAATAAGAGGTTAAAAGATTTTAATTTTTATTCTTGATAAATTTATAGTTATTATTCTTTATAGTTATAATTATTCTTTATAGTTTTTTTTTTTTTTTTTTTTTGCGTTTAATGCATTACTACAGAAGTAGAATTTCTTAAAATCAGGTGTTTTGATGTCCGCAGTATTTTGTTTTTGGATTTTTCCACTATTTTATTTAACTCAAGAAGAGGTTCAGTAATATATTCTCAAACATTTATAAAATGCTCAACCATATTCTTTCTTGCCCAAGTTTGATCTTTTCTTGCAAAATATGATTTTTATCTGTAGTTTTTCTTAAAAAATCAGACAATTTTATGTGTTTTTGATGCTTCTTTGAATTTATAATATTTTCAAATTCAACTTTTAACGGACTAACATAGTTAGCTTC